TTTGCTAAATAATGAATATTAATGATATCCATGTAGGTATTATGGATAAACATGCTTTTAGGATCACTTCTCCCTTGGCTTAAAAGCTTGTTTCTAATTTGCAAAGCATGGTTGGTTCTATGGTACTATATATATTTCAGTTCAGATGGGGAAAGAGTTATGTTGGCTCTACTTCATGAGTTTGAAACTTTGTAGCTTGAACAAAATAACACATTAACAATAATAAAAGTTAGCCTAAATGTTCCCAAATACTGTAGAAGCAGAAAGTACTAGAGCCGAGGATCCGAGTCTTACAAAGGTAAACAAGTCCACACATAATAACTTAACAAAATACTATAACAGTAACTGTTCCCTACTTCATGGCCACTTTGGTCTTTTGAATCTTTAGGTATTTAACAGTTTTCGTTGAGTCAATCCAAGAGATTGAGCTTGCCTTCTTCTTTGGCTTCTTCCATTTTCACATCAACACTTCCACTAGCTCCTGCAATGTTTTCTTCTCCCTCCAGCACATTCAGATCTACGCTGCCTCTTAAGGGTTTTGTTTCTTCGACTGAGTCTTTCATCTCAACATTGTTTAGGTTTGGCTTAGTGTCTTCATGTGACTTGACTTGATCGGATGGAGCCGAGAGGATCCTGCTAATGTTACCACTGATAGATTCGAGTGAACCCAAGTTCTCATTCAACTTGCTACTTGATGGTTGGTTGTTTGCATATGCTTGGACTGATTCACGAGCGTTCTCATCTAAGACTTCACACATCTGGATAAGCGTAAAGAGATTACTGTAATACTGGTTCTAGACATTAGCTTTCCACCAAAGAAAACAAAAACGAAAGCTTACCTTGTTAAAATGTTGAGCTATTTCAACCCGCTCTTGGTTGTTGTCAACAGCAGCCACCATAATTTCTTCAGAAGCTGCAGTGAGATAAGAGGTCACCGTTAGAATCAATAATTTGATAATTCGAGAAACTAATGATGGAGCTTACTTATGGGATCAGTCTTAGGAAGTCCATCAAGCATTTCATCATCAACCTCGACGAAGCCCCCTCCCACTGTGTCAGTGACCTTTGCTTCAGCTTCTGGTTCTTCACTAGGCATAGATGATGAGCCACCAAGTCCCTGTAACCAAGATTCAATAAAAGTTGGATAATGCAGCACAATACACGTGAATAAGTACGGACATTGCAGACTGGACAAAACATACATAAAAATCTTCTGCATATTCATAATTCAATGCCTTCTCCAGAAGCAGAACTCGCTTTTTCACAAACTCAACAAGTCTTCTTTGCATGTCCCGATAATAGAACATCGAGTTTACTTGGCCCGCATCAGCAAAAGCATTATTGTTCCCCGTAATACCGCTTCCATGATTCTGGTTATTCTGTGCTCCCGGATTGGAGCTTCCACTACCATTCTGCCCCTGCAAGCCAGCTTGTTCAGCAGCAGACAAACTTATGTGAGGGAAGTTTAATTCTTTGCAGATAAGCTCTTGGATCCCCAACTCTTTGTCATCAACAATGGCTTGCCATCGTCCATACCCATGCCTAAGGAGTCAATTTTTGAGAGAAGGAAAAGTAAACGTGAGCAAGCAATAGAAAATTAGGAGAGAATAAAATCATTCGGTGAGAACACTGTTGAAGGGTTCATACTTTAAAACAGCACGTATCATTATCTTGTCATGTTCCTCCTTCCAAATTTTTCCACTCCTTAGTCCTGGGAATCTTTCAAGAATGCGGTTGGGGAAAACAGGTTTGGCTGGATGATCTTCTACATATTTCACCTGTCAAGCCAGAGCACCAAAAAATCTGAGAGTTGAGCTCAAACAAACATGAGCAACTCAGAATCAAAAGTTCAGGGCGATAAGCTTAAAAACAGAAACACAACTAAGAAGAGAATTCTACAAAAGATTGGAAAAGTCATTCCTCTAGTAGTGACTGGAAACAGAGAAAATGAAGCAGAACATAACCAAACGTTTTAGCACAGGAATGCACCAAAACTTCTTAGATCTTGGTTTGGACATATGATTACTGAGTCAAAAATTGGTAAAGATCAACTATAGCCTAGAAGAAACAGATACAAAAGATAGTGCTACATTTCTCTTGTATCATCTAACTTAATGTCCACAATAACAGTAAAACACAGATACAGAAGCTCCACCACGTGGCAACACTCTGCATTGGTCCTCAGAAGACAATTCAGAAATAAAAGAAAACGAAATATTAAAGGATTACAGTCGAAGACTTACCTTCTCCTGTACTAGCAACAGAACAGCAATTCTGACTAGAACATCTTCAATTCTAAGTCCTTCCTTGGGCACACCATCTATATACAAAGACCATTGCACTCTTATAGTTAACAGGAGAAGCAACAATCACATTTACACAAACAATGAAAAGATCAATTATCAGTCACCTGAAAAGGTTGGAGAATTCTCGTCAATATCTTCAGCAATGTGCTTCAAGAAGAGTATTCCATACCTGAAACACAGACGCCATTAAACAATTAGATGATGAAAAATCATTGGTCTTTTCAAGGAATAAACCAGAACACCTTTTTATAGTGATTCGTTTTTTGTAAAGAAACTAGAGAGAAGAGCATTAAAGTGTAAAGTAAATACTCTTTAATTTCGTCATAGGTCTTCTGCTTCAAGCGAGGAACAAACTCCTTCCAATCGTAATTGCCAACACCATACCTGCACATTTTTTTTACCACATGACAAAAACATGTGAATCATGTGTATCGGGAGACAATATGTACAATTAAGACAGTACAATTTCTTGTGTCTAACGTCCTTATCGGAAAGAAGATACCTCATCAACGTCTGTACAAAAATGGCCCTTTGACTCTGGTTGAAACCCAGTACTCTGAAAGATCTCCCCTCGCCTTCCATCAAAGGAGTTGGCTCCGAGTTATCTACATAAATAACTTTTAATAAACTGCACGTTCTCTTTATATCACTAGTTTCACCTACATTACGATTTAAAGAATTTCAGACATGTTGTAATACCTCGACCCCTTCTTCTGTACGGCCTTCTACCCGTCTGATTTCCTTGTCCCGCAGCTTCACCATCTGTTGACTCGGCTTCATAACTTTCATCTCCATCAGAGCTCACATCTTCCAAACCAGCAAGATCATCTTCTTCAACGGATACCAACTAGGAAAAAATCCCATAGAAGAATTAGAACAGCATTTCTGAAAAATATGAAACGAAGACGGCTGACCAAAATAATGTAAACCCCATTAGTAATTGAGATATATCAACATGTAGAGAGTGGAACAAAAATAATCGCTTGCAGAAGAAAAAAAAACTATAGTTACTTGGGCCTCTATCAACCCCAATCAATAAATTTCAGTTATATTTTCTTTTTATACATGTGCATTGATCCAACACCAAAACTCTTAAGATCTTTCAAAACAGTTAATAAGGCAATGGCATTTAGCATTTATTGAATACACTCAACTAAATTATTACTTTCCGAGTTTAGTACCTAAGGAATTCCAAAAGTGAAGAATGACAACATGAAACAAATTCATGACGTAGAACAGAATGAAAAGATACAAATGGTGAAAAGTCCAGTTATCAATTTGATGCTACGATTGGATTAGGGGAGAACAAGAAGAGACAAACCTGCTTGCGACTTCTTTTCCTTTTTCCAAGAGCATTAAGCTCCTCTGCCTGCTGCACCTCAAATTTGTCTTTTAACAACTCTTCCCAATAACTTGCCCTGTCAGAATTGCCTGCTGAAGATTTGCTTTCAGCAGCAACTCTCTGTGCCTCTAATGCTGCCGCCTCATTTTCATCTATATACTCAAAATTTGCCACCTAAAATAGAGGAAGCCCGTAGAATCTTAGTGAAGTCATTTCAGAGTTAATGACACTAAATAGATACCAGACACCCTTATCATTGAAAAACATTTCTATATGCACGCAAAGACCAAAAATTGTTTAGGGATTTCAAATATAATCTCATATATCTTTTTCATCGTTAACAGCAAATCATATGAACCGCAGCCACCTGATTTTTAAATTATATGATTCAGTACATCGCCCCTTCATTTTACAGCAAAAAGCGACCATGCAACAAAAAAATTACAATCAACATTTCCTTGATATTAAAGTACTCCCCTCTTCTCATAGTATTTCAACAATCAAGCAAACAGAAGGTGACATGTAGCAATGCAGGACACAACTTATGTTCCAACTAAGTCTAAAGACCACTCAAATAACACAATTCAGCCTTCAAAAGATATAACAAATCGATAGGTGAAACTGGCTCACTCAACATCACCACATGCATAAAATTTAACCTGAGTCATCATCACTAATTTTCATTGAATTTGCTTTCAATTTGAGCTAGAACGAAACAGTCAATAGGCCCTTTTATAAGCATCAAAGCAAACTGACTCAAAATGCATTGATCCTCCAAACTTAGCAAGTAATAATTTGGCACGATTGTGCACATCATAAGAGATTTTGATAGCCACCCAATGTTTGAATACTCAGGAATATAGGAACACAACCATACACTCCAATGGAATATTAAAATCAGTGAACACTGATCCAGAGAATACTAATAGAAGCGGGAGATAGGTAAGAGGGTAAAAAACCTTGAAAGCCTTTAAGAATCCATTCTCCTCTTCATCATCCACTGCGACCTCCTCAGCCTCTACGAGATCACGATCAAGCAACCTGCAGAACAGAAGATGAAGATAGTTAAAGATATATTCAATTCAATTGATAGAACAAGAGAAATTGGAAAGCGCAGAAAAATCCTTGGAAACCAAAGATAAATAAGAGAAAAATTAGGAAAGAGTATATTACTTGTCTATCGCCGCATCATCATAATGAATTTTTCCCAACTTTCCTGCTTCGTCATCTTCACTAGCAAAAAGCTCCTTTGAACCATACCTGATGATGTCATCTAGCTCTTCCTAAATTGCAGTCAGGAGAATAAAACAAACAAGAAACTTAGTGACAAACAATCGAACAAATATGGACTCCCTTCTCTAGTGTTTCAGTCTTTTAGTTTCACACAAATAGCAAAAGGTGTTCTTGATGTTTCTACCTTCTAACTCCAAAACGTTGATAAATTTGTAAATCACGTGAAAAAGGTTCATCTTCAAGCAATAAAATTATACCTGATTAATGTTCTGTGTTTTCAATTTCCCGACAACAAGATGCTCTAGAACCATCTTCTTTTTAGTCAATTGCATCATCCTTTCTTCAATGGTGCCTCGATTTATGAGCCTGTAAATCATCACCTAAAGGTGAATATAAGGCTTAATTAGTAAACTAAGAAAATACTGAAAGTGCGAGTTGACAGCACTAAGAGATTAAAGTTAAAACCTTATTTGTTTGGCCAAGTCGATGGGCTCTAGCCATAGCCTGGAGATCAGCATGAGGATTCCAGTCACTACAGAAGCAGAAAAAAAAACATTTTAATTATAATGAAAATGTGAACAGATGTAAACCAAAACAGACTGTGGTCCAAGCAGAGGCTGGTGTCCACTTCACCCACATTGCATGCCAATTAAATTTTCTTATCAGCAAGAGGGCAGATAATAATATTCTTGATCTTCCTGCTGTCTTAGAACTTGCATGTTCACGAAAATGGTTGTTATTTGAAAATAAAAACCCAAGTACTTTTTTTATCAATCATTATCGCCCAAGACATCTGCTTAAAGCATTCTACTCACATGAAAATCAACATTGTATTTCCAAGTACTCATGCATCCAAGCCAAATAGCTCCTCTGACTGCTTGAGACAATAACTATGGAAAGTAACAGATGACACTAAGAGAAGCTGAAATTCAAACCTGTCATAAATGATTACTGTATCAGCGGTTGCAAGATTTATTCCTAAGCCACCAGCTCTTGTGGAGAGCAGAAAACAAAATCTGTTAGAGTTTTTGGCATTAAACCGATCTATGCGTATTTGCCGCTCAGCTCCGCCAACCTTTCCATCAATTCGCTCATAGAGCCAGTCCTGACAAAGACAAAGAGCAGACAAATCATAAGAAAGATTTTCCTCAACTGCATATTAAATATGTGATAGGAAGTGAGTCTCCAGTGCATGTGTCAGCGATAGCAATGGTGATGATAAATGGCACTTGAAGAGATACAAAAGTAATTTTTGAGAAAATTTCAAAGTTATATTGCCGATGGAGCAAGTTATTAACTTGTGCATCCATAATTGCACCTAACAATGCTAATTAGAAGAAGAAGAAAATGAGCTGATTCGATAAATGTCAAAATGGTATCCTACAGAAAAACAAGAATCAAAACTTACTGAAATAGAGGGTACAGATAACAAGAACAGATACCTTATAGGAACAGTAGTCTTCAAGTAAGTCAAGCATGTGCTGAAATTGAGTGTATATGAGAACTCTGTGTCCTTGCTCTTTCAGCTTGACCATCATTTTGTCTAAAAGTTGCAGCTTTCCACATGATTCCACAAGTTTTCTTTAATACAGTTAAGAAGACATTAAAGCAGAAGTTAGCACAAGACTTCAATAAGTTATTATTATACACGAATCCGGATCAAATTTTTAGTCCATTTAGGGAAAGGAAATGTTACTTGAAAGCCTCATGTGCGTCGTGAATAACTGGCTCTACACCATCCAGCATATAAGGATGGCAGCAAACTTTTCGTAATTCCATCATTATGTTATTAAGAGAAATCTGAACAGAATCAGAGCAACACAATCACCAGACAAATTACAGTGGAACCGGTTCCTACTCCAACTATGAGATAGATGGATCTAAAAACGTATACAAACATTCAAAAAAACTTACTTGAGCACCTCCTTTTTTTGTCAGTATCTGATAATTACGGGTAAAAATAGCTTTGTAATATTCTTTTTGCTGGCTACTCAAATCAACACGCAAAATGAGCTCCTTTTTAGGGGGCATGTCTTTCATTACATCTTTCTTGACCCCTGCAAAAGCAATCAAAATACAACACACCATAGTTATAAAAAAAATTATTAAAATACCTTCCGGATGAACTTTGAAACAAATACGCATTAAAATAGATGAACAAAAAGTTATGGTTAATACTTCTGAGCAAATGTGGAGCCAACATTTTGTGCAGTCTTGAAATCTGCTCCTCTTGATTAATATCTTTGAACTCCTCCTGAAACTCCTCCAAACTGCCAAACTGCAATATAAAAGCACAATCAAATAAAACATTAGCTACATAAAATTCTGTAACGTAGATGATTATTTGTTATCTCTGCTATCCTTTGGCTACCTTCCCCGCGTCAAGAAAATGCATAAGCATGAAAAGTTCATCCAAGTTGTTCTGAAAAGGCACCACGCAATCATTAGTAACATATAGTATCTGGTCACATTAAATAACTTAATACAGGGTAAAAAAGGTTTTCTAGATGATACATATAGCCAACTAATTCACAAAATGAGTATTCATAGATCAAAGACAATGTATTCTTTAGAACAATCCTTCGACTGGAAATTGGTAGTTTCAACACCGTTGAAAGTAATGCCTTTAACCTAAGAAAGAATTCCTCTCTAAAGGTGGTCAGATCTATAATTGATGTGTTTATGTAACAATTGATACTATTGATGCTAACCAATTGAAAGCACTATCCACAGTTTCATTTAGATATATATAGATTGTCAAGAATCCAAACTATGATTGTGTTTTACCTTTAACCCAAAAAGAGTTGCATGCAAAAAAACATCATGTAAGAAAAAAAATTAAGAGAACCTTAAACATCAGAAAATCATTAATGGTATTCAATCTTTATATGCGAGAGCAAATGTGGAAACAAAATCCACAGATCACAGCTAATCAGGCAAGACAGTAATGTACGATATAAAATATTTTTTTTTTGGTCAAACTTAACCTGCCCGTCAAATATACACAAGATAGTAATGAAGGATATAAAACAAATTATATTTTTGGGTCAAATTTAACCTGCCCGTCAAATGTATGCAAGACAGTAATGCAGGATAAAACAATTTTCATTGCAAATAAATAGCTAAAATATGCTCCGATACAACTATTGAAAAGAATAATAAATTCAAGGAAGCAAAATCAAGTGACGAACCTGAAGTGGTGTTCCTGTCAGAAGAATACGATGGTTACTTGAATACTGTGTCAACGAAGAGAACAGCTTTGAATCCTTATTTTTCAGTCGATGGCCTTCATCAACAATCTGACCAAAAAATTAATACTAAGGTACATATGAAAGAGTGAGAGAGAGAGACGACTAAGAGAAAATAATGTCTCATTAGGCAACAGGAGTTACCATGCACTCCCACTTAATTGGTTTTAGAACTGCTGTGTCTAGGTTGATCATCTCATACGAAGTGAGGAGGACATCAAACTTGATTCTTTTTTGCTTGCTTTCACTACTGATTTGTCCAGATTTCTTTTTCTTGATCTTCTTATGACCTTTCGGGAAGTAAAACTCGTGCTCTCTAATAACGGCTCGAGCTTGTGAAGTGCCAAAATACATAACCTGCCCGTCAAATGATCGCAAAGAACATTTCAT